TTTTTTTTTTTTTTACTTAAAACATAGCTTGCTCAGTAGCCTCTTCATTCAAATATTTTTTGAGCACTCGCTATACATCAGACACCATTCCTACTGATCTAATTTAATCTAAAACCCCAGCTTAGTATCTGAAATGCCGGATTCCCATGGAATTAACACTACAATGAACCTCATGCTGCTGACCAGAACCCAGCTGTTGGGGACCCACCTGTTTATTCCACTGAGACAAAGTGACTTTTAAAACTTAAATTAAAAAAAAAATTTTTTTATGTTTATTTTAGAGAGAGAGAGAGAGAGAGAGAGAGAGAGAGCAAGCGGGGGAGGGGCAGAGAGGGAGGGAGGCAGAGATTCCAAAGCAGGCTCCAGGCTTTGAGCTGTCAGCACACAGCCTGACACGGGACTCAAACCCATGAACTGAGATCATGATCTGAGCTGAAGTCGGATGCTAAACCGACTGAGCCACCCAGGCGCCGCCCCCCACCCCCAATTTTTTTTTAATGTTTATTTTTGTGAGAGAGAGACAGAGCACAGGCAGGAGAGGGGCAGAGAGGAGACACAGAATCTGAAGCAGGCTCCAGGCTCTGAGCTGTCAGCACAGAGCCTGATGAGGGGCTTGAATTCACGAACTGAGAGATTATGACCTGAGCTGAAGTCAGACGCTCAACTGACTGAGCACCGAGGTGCTCCTTAAAAAAATTTTTTTTTAATGTTTGTTTATTTTTGAGAGATGGGGTGGGGGAGGGGAGAATTGAGTGGGGGAGGGACAGAGAGAGATGGAGACACAGAATCCGAAGCAGGTTCCACGCTCTGAGCTGTCAGCACAGGGCCCAACGTGGAGCTTGAACCCACAAACTGTGAGATCATGACCTGAGCTGAAGTCAGATTCTTAAATGACTGAGTCACCCAGGTGCCCCTAAAACTTTTAAATTGGGGCTCCTGGGTGGCTTAGTGGGTTAAATGTCTGACTTTTGGTTTTAGCTCAGGTCACGATCTCTGTCCCTGCGTGGGGCTCTGTGCTGACAGTGCAGGGTCTGCTTGGGATTCTCTCTCTTTGCCTCTCTCAATAAATAAATAAACAAGCAACTAAATAATGAAACTTAAGTAAAATTCCAATTCCATTTTAAGTAAGAGGGACTTAGTGATAAAAGTAATGCCTTTGGCATCTAAGTCAATAAATCCTTTTCGAAGGTCAATTTAGTAATATGAAGGGGTGGGACTTTTGACTATGATGGAATGAGGAGACTGGCAAATATTCTCCCCCCAGAAAGCACAAAATTGACAAAAACAACCATTTCAGCACTCTGGCAATTGACCAAGGGCATATGGCAATGCAAGAATCATCTATGCTTGGAAAACTGCTGAACTTCAGGTAAGAAAAGAGGGACTCTGTGGCATTTTAGCCTGGGGCTCCTCCCATCTGCCTGCCTAGTTCAATGAGTAAGACATTCTGCTATACCAAAATCTTTGAAATAGCATCAAGCAAACCAACACGTGTGCAATGAAAGTTTCAGAAAGAGAAAAGGGCAGAAGATTTGAAGAAATAATGGCTGAAAATTCCCCCAATTTGATGAAAAAAAAAATCATCTACACATCTAAGAAGCTCCACAAACCCTATGAATGGTAAATACAAAGATATTCACATCCAGGGGCGAGTGGGTGGCTAAGTCGGTTGAGGGTCGGACTTTGGTTCAGGTCATGATCTCACAGCTCATGAGTTTGAGCC